ATCAAAGAATCATTAAAATCACGAAAGGATGTACATAACACTTTCGAAGGATTAGATGAAATACATAGTGGTTAACTGAAATTTAATTCTTCACTCGGTCATGCTATAGCATTAAACTCAAGACGTGATCTGTTCAATACATTTCAAGTGTACTACTGTCACCTTTAACTATTTATGTGATAGGACAAATCACAAACTTAAATAGTAAACCGATCAATGTTGCAACCTTCCAGTACAAAATGCCGACCTTTATACATTGTTTGTGAACAAATTATTTATGATCAAATTATAAGTTACGTCACAATGTACTTCTCAACACAAATTCCAACTTATATTGTCACAAGTGATCATTAGTACTCTAATTCGCATGTTCAATAATAAATGAATGCAATAAATAAATAAACCCACAATTTAGTTATTATAAATTAATATTTTATCATAACAAATTTACTCTATGGGCACAAAACCAAATATATCTCCCACTTTCCCTAAAGTAGATGTGTCATATCATACAACATCAACTCATATAGATATTCCTTGAAAATTGTAGTAGACAGGATTTCAGTAAACGAGTCTACAAGTTCATTCCAATACAATCCTACCAATTATCTCTCATAAGAGATCATATTTTCGTTCAATGTGTTTATCTCTCCAATGAATTTATTGTTAAAGAGCAACGGATTGTCTACAATGGCCTTGCATCTAATGGTTTTCTAGTGTAAAAGTAACACATTTGTATACGAAGAAGTGACAAGAAATATATGGACAACTTGATCGTTTAGGTTTCGAGGCCAACAAATTAATGGATAGGCAAATTTTATTTATTTCACTTTTTATGACAAAATTTAGAAAATTATTTTTTCATGCATGCTCTTTATCTTCATTAAAACTAATGATTATATTCACATATACGTAGCAATGATCAGTTGGTGCACTATAATTTGAAATAATTCAAATTCAAAAGTACGAAGAGTCACGTGGTGAGATAGAATGCACTTGCCTTATTTAGTGGAGATTAAAATCATATTTTTAGTAAATTTTGATAAAAGTTGATGAAATGTGTAGTTGAAAATTGTGGATCCCATGAAATATATAGTTAAAATTAATTGTTGACTTTGACTTCAATTAAAATTCGATTTTTAATCCTTACCAAACATGGGATGAGTGTTTGTTTATTTTATCTAAAAAATAAATTTTTAACATATTTGACAAGAATTAATGAAATGTGTGATTGAAAAGTTAATAAAAATTTTTAATACTATGAAATGTCTGATTAAAATTGAACTTAAAAAAATAAAAATAAAAATAAAAATAAAAATTATAATTATTGACATTGCGAGTGGGATACTTCTTGGATGATCATAGGGGCAATAAGGGAACGTACTTCTAGTGATCATAAGAGGATGGTCCATTCGATTGATCAATATTATATTGGCCATTAGATTGATGATTATTGATATTTAAGTTGTGCAAAACTGTACTCGATGAATAGGAAGTTGGTCAAGGGCCCAATGAAAGGAAAATATTTCAAATGAAATTATTTCGAGTTAACTTTGATAAATATTTGAATATAATTCATTTTAGCATGGTGTTTTAAAGAAATGACATGTCATCATATACTCATATTATTTATACTCAAAAGTTGCATGATTTTTACTTATTGGGCATTAGGTTAAGTAGTTCTTACATTGTAGGTGAGCATGAAATTTCATAGAAGACATGACTAGCTATGAATCTCTTAGGGATTCCGAAGTTTGATGTACATGGATGACAATCCGTAGGATTGTTTTGTGGCCTATTTGTTTTGACCTTATAATATGTTATATTATATATTGAGAATCCTGTATTGTCTATATATGATTTTTGAAATGGTATGGTGGATACTTTTGTAATTCTCAAAGTAAATATGTTGAATTTTGGTTATGTAGTATTTGGTCATAAAATACTATACGTACATCATAGGTGGTTAGGTAAGAATATACAGGGACCATCTTGTGAATATGCTTATTTCAATTTATCATGTCAAAAATAAAATGTAGAATCATATGTCTAGGTCGGTTCATGAAATTTTATTCCAACATAGGTTAATGTATTTTGTCTATATGAATGGGGTTTGACAATTGCTGCACCACTATTCCAAATAATTAAAATTAGGCTTGGGCGCGGTTTGATTTGGGTTTGTTTCGACTCCAACTCGAAATTAAAACCAAATTAGTCGATTTTGGTGAATTTCAACCCAAACCAACCCACTTTAACTCTTAAAATTGAACCGAACCAAACCAAATCAGATTTGTTTGATTCGGTTCGATTAGTCAATTTGGACTTTTAGTCTAAATTGAATTTAGAAAAAAAATTGTCCAAGTTTGGGTCCAATTAGATAACAAGAACTAAAATAACTAAATAACTTTATATTACGAGAATTATTGACTAATAAATAAAATTAGGTTACTAGAGACAGATTAATAGAAAACCTTGAGATTTTGTTGCCTTTTTGTAGATTATGTAGCCCGATTGCTTGAGTGAGGAAAAAAACTAGATATAATATAATGAGCTTATGAAAGAAAGTTTTCAGTACTATTACTTACCGATAATATAATAGTTTGGAGGAAATCGTGATATGGTTATGAGATTAGGTTACAAGTGGATTGAGTTGGTTCGGTTAACCAATGATTTGAGGCTTCAAACCATGATCGAACCAAATAACCATAGTTTTATTTTAAAAAAAAATCAAACCAAACCAATTACATGTGTTTGATTGGTTTGGTTGGTTTTTCAAATTTTTTGCCCAGACCTAATTATAAAATTCAAAAATACAAAAAGTCACGTGATGAGATCGGATTCATCCCTTATTTAGTGGAGTCTAAAATCTATTCTTAGTAAATTTTAATAAAAGTTGATGAAATGTATAGTTGGATATTGTGGATCCCTTGAAATATATAATTAAAATTAATTGTTGATTTTGACTTAAATTAAAATCTGAATTTTAATCCCTACCAAACATGGGATACGTCTTTGTTTATTTTAGCTAAAAATATAAAATTAACAGATTTGATAAGAATTAATGAAATGCGTGATTGAAAAGTTAATAAAAATTTTGAATATTATAAAATGTGGGATTAAATTTTGGAAAAAAACATAAATTTCAAAAAATGGGATCAACATGACTAAGTAATTATGTAAACGAAATGCTTATGATGTACAAATTGCAAAATTTTTTAATTTAGAGTCAACAAAGTCAAAATCAAGCCCTTGTAGTTGATATTGTTTCATTTTTCAATTAAAAACGAATAATTTATATTAAAAAAAAAACCGCCAATGTACATTAGCACGTACTAGAGCCTCGTTTGGCCCTTATTTTGTAAAAGTGAAAATCAGTGGAATAATATTTTTTTGAAAAATGAATGATTGGAAAAGTAGAAAAAGTTTTCGATTTATGTGTAATATTATTTTATAAAAGATTGTGTAGTTGAAAATAAGAGAGACAAAAATAAAATGTACAAAAATGAAAGTTAGGCCCTGTTTGGCACCCATTTTTATCAAAATGCATTTTTCTCTCTCTTCTTTTCAACCACACATTTTTTATTAAAATAATATTACACGTAAATCAAAAAATTTTTCTTATTTTTCAACCACACAATTCCCATCAATTTACTATTCAAAAATGCATTTTCACATAAAAATTCCTACCAAACACCCTCTTAATGGGGGCAAATGGGGGCTAGGAATTTCCCGCGTTCCATTAAGAAAAATTAAAATATTAGTTGGCACTTCCCAAAAACTGGAAATGGAACGCCAATCGTTTGGCTTGGGGTCTGTTATTTTAAATTTCCACTATTTATCAGCACACTTCAATATGATAGGAGAAACAGCAATGGAAGCCAAGAAAGTGAAACCCCGACGAAGAGGGCCAAGAAATCCTCACGAAAATGACGAGGACACGGTGAAGAAGGCGAGGAAAGCAAATGAAATCATATTGGCCAACAATAAGCAGAGCTATCGCCCGGAGCAAGTCATTGGAAGCTTGTAGTACGGCCTGGGTGAAAGTTTGCAGTCCATCCACAGGAAAAAGCTGCGGTGGCTGTTGGAGAAACTCCTCCTTCAACACAATTGGAGGGAGGCAACCGGCGTGCTTAGTGTGCTGCTCAAAGGAACTGCCGATGACAAGTCTCTATCTCATAATCGCACCAAGTATTTGGTATATCTTCCTTTTTGCAAGAATTCATTTTTTGAGTATTTGGTGTCATCAAAGTAAATTTTCTTTCTGTTTTCTACCCAAGATTTTAATCTCTTGAACTTGCTTTTGGTCCTGTGTTATGACGGATGAGATTGAAGAACATAATTTTGGGCGATTCCAATGCTAAAATTTTTGTCACAAAGGAATTATGTCAAAGTTGAAGTGCTCCAATTCATACTGAGGCTAGAACGGATTGTTCAACTGTTTTTATGAGAAAAAAAATTTAAATTTCCATTCTCCTCTTTGGATATGTTGAAGTATTTGATGATATAGCACACAAGGATGCATAATCTCTCCGTATTCATTATGGCAAGAGCCAGCTGATACTTTGTATTAATTATATGCTTACTGATTGATTTCTGACCTTCCTCTCTTTAGAGTTTTGGAAATCTTTTATCCATATGTAAGTACCCTTTGGCTCATTCATATCATCCTTTATACACAACGTCTTTTGGCTTCTGGTTGTTCCTCCAAATTATATGTAGATGTTCAACTCTTTTTTGATATCAGTAGTATATGTTTGCAGAATGCACACTTATCATTATTTGCAGGCTGCTCTGGAGATTCTTAACTATGTAAGAGGTGAAACTGTCAGCCCAAGAAAACTCCAAAATGTCTATGAACTGTGGATGCAAAAGATTGGGCGACTGAAAAATTGGCCGACAAAGGTACGCTATAGAAAAATATTTCTTGAAAGATAAATAAAAGCTTTTTCTTCATGAAATAATTGATAATAAATCTCTTCTTCTATTCGTGTAACTCTGTCTCACACATGGAATGACTAAGGATGCGCATATGGCTGCTCTATGGTATTTTCTTGGTTTTCTACTACATTTTAGTTTAGTTTTTGTAAGATTCTATACATCTCTGATCTGAAGTAATTTAATGCTTTATTCATTAACTAGTGTCCATTTAAAAGTACTGGAATGAGCTTGTGTTACTCTATAATACACTTAGATGAATTCAAGAAAGCTCTAATCTCGACTGGTCTTGGATGAGCACTGCAAAATGTGAAATAAATGGCTGTAACCAGTACTTTTTTAGACATTATAGTCTTTTTCGTGGTTTTGAGATCTCAAAAGATGCAAGTCTGTTGAAGGAGACAAAACATTGTGAGTGGGCCAAACCACTAATTTACAAGTTTGTTGGACTCTTAGGTGAGTTCTTGAGATATCAAAATGAAGTTTCTGTTGCTAGCATGTTTCAAGTAACATCTGTTTAATATGATATTTTTCAATTAAACTTGTGAAATAATGAAGTTTCATTATTGTGGTTGTGATGGTGGAAAGCCAGTCAATAAATATTTTCATGGACTAATGAATTTTAACATTGTTTTTGAGGACCAATAATAAAATATTAAATCAGTCTTATGCAGAAGCGTGGTTTTGAGAGTGACCCGGTCTCAAATTTGGTTGTTGGCTTGACATTTTGCCATCTCTGGTATTCTGGACTTCCAAAAGAGCTACAATGGACAGAGTTGGACACATTTGATGAGTCCAAGCAATCGGAAATGCCTGCAGATGGAATTTACAAGGGGTATGATGCTTTCGAAGCTGGAGGAGCCAAATCCTCCTTACAGTGTTTTTTGAACACCTCTTTCGCCTATGACAAAGAAGTGTTAGGAGAGGATGGTAACCACCCGAAAGATTCCATGGATATTGATGCTAATAAACTGAAAGAATCTGCTCGCCGTCATTTTCAGCCACTAGATTTCTACATGAATTCTACCGAGGAAAGTGGACATGAAAAATATTTCTTCTCTAATAGTAGTGGTGATCTGCCTCATGTGTCTATTTTTGACACTCATGGTGAGTTTCAGAGCTTGTGCTCTCTCCCATCTTCCCTTTCAACTTCTCACAGGCGCGAAGGTCCATATATTCTGTGCTTCACTAATTTATTCCTGTCCACAATCATGATTTTTAGGCAATTTACAGGGACATATTCAGTTCCTCTATGTTTATTCCTTCCTATACCTCTTAATCTCAAAATGTATATTATTTATTAGTACCCGATAAGTCTGCGTTCTAGATTTTCATTGTTATTCAACTACAAGGATGTCTTCTAGCAAATATATCGTTTGTTGCTGTATGCATTTTATGCTTGTTTATCTTGTTAGGTGGTCAAACAAAAAGTACAAGATTCTTGTCTTGTCTTGTATGCGTAGGAGTAAATAAAGCAGGGCCAAAATAACTATCATAACTAATCATCCATACTATGCAAACCTCTTCATCAATAGCAGCATCTGGCTTGAATGACCACACTTAATATTTTGGATACTAATTATGATGTCCAATTGTCTAACAGTACCCAATTTTTTGATAGTATGATGTCTGAAATTATGTAAATTTATTTTTTGTATTTCCCAATATTAATTTAATTGCACAATTTTTGGGATGTGTACCTTTATGTCATGCTTCAATTACGTTCAAGAATATATTGATATGCTAATTACTGTTTGTTTCTTGGAAATTGTAGGTCTTCCTCCATGGTTACTGCCTATGCATTTGCCAAATTCTCGTGAAATTTTTGAGGATTTGATGGATGAGCACAAGAAATTTCATAATGACTACTATACGAGTGCGTTGAAGCACTTGCGTGTTTCCCTTTACTCGAAAGTTCCAGTAATTGAGGCTTTTCATCCTTTAATACAGGTACTGCAGTTATAATGCTTTGTATGGCAATTGTATCTCATATTCATCAAATACTTATTTCTTTTGAAAATGAGTAGAATTCTGTTTTGCTTTTAAAATCCAGCTACCATTCCTTATACAGCAATGCATACACCTATTGTTTAAGACAATATTTAATAAATACATGTGCTAACATTTTAAGCTTTTAGATGAGATGATTAACAATAATATTAACAAGCTAAGTCCTTTACCTCCTAAACTTGACGTCAGCTACGTTAATCTTTTACACCACTTCTTTTGTTTTAATGCTGCATTTGGATGAATTATAACCAATTGTATACATACAAGTTTATTGCTAATTCAGAAACAGTTGTACTTTTGCATAATTATTTTTGAAGCAGCAGAGTTTTCTGGTCTAGAAAGTAACAAAGCTACAGAGTCTTTAACCTTGCATAGTATAATTACTGGGTAGGTTTTCATTAGAAAACATTGCAAAAATAAAGTAAGATGTGAAAGAAAAGATCAACAGTTGCAGTTATGTTTTGTCATAACAATCAGCAGCACAGCCCCTACAATTATTGATTGAGTACTTGTTTTCCAATTCAAGCAGTCAATTCTTTTTTCTTTTTAATTACAACAGTTTCTGGATTTGTCTAAAACACAACCTCCGAATTTCCATCTTTGTTATTTTGGCAGATGCTTCTTCTTGGAGATCGGGTCAACGAGGCCCTTGATGAACTTGAAAAATCATTTAAAATTTCAGATACAGTACTCCAGTTAAGGTAATGGTTTCCTTCTCCAAAATAGCAATTGTGGCTGCTTAGAATGCAAAACAAACTGCACTGACTAGGGACTAATTTGAAAGATATATGCATATGTATGTGTATGCAAGTGTAGTTAGAATATATTGGTTTTCATTTGTTGCAGATTGAAAGCTGCTCTCTTGGAGCATTTTAATGGCATATACAATGTGAAACTCTGTACATGCTTTGAGGACATCTTAAAGAAGGATCCAACATGCAGCAACTCGTTGGCTAGACTTGTTGTCATGCATCAACGAGGTCAGTTATTAGTGTTTTTTCAGACGGTTTCAAGGTGTTCATTTCGTTATCTTATCACTTCTGATAAGATCAATTTTGAATAGTTTAGTCATCATTTGTTTTTTTTTCACTTCTCATTGCTCTATACTCTTTTGCTCCTTTTTTCTATTATTATATTTTAATGTTCACTCCCCACTCC